TTCAAGAGTAATCTGTTAAAGTTTCGTTTCAGTATCTTGCACAGTTTTAGAGAAAATTGCATTCATACAAAGATAAATCAAGATTTTTTGTTTCATATACAAAATCCGAAATCTAAGGGTTTACTTTGTACTGTTGAGATTTTACAAAAAACTATAATACAAGGAACTAGAAAAAGTCAAAATCATCAATTAAAAAGTCAACCACACCAGAAAAACAAGTTTTTGAGACATTTAAAAACATTTTTGAGTTCTCTAATGTGGATGAAAGTTTGAAATTACAAAGTTTTTAACCCTTTACTGTCCACAGTTGCCATATGGCAACTAAATAATCATTGGTTGTTCTGTACAGGTAGTCTGTGTTTTAGCTTACCAATTCTTTTTGTGATGTTGCTATGGATATCTCTTTTATTGAATTGAATGTTTTGATTGGTTTGTTTTGTTGTTGGGAGGGAGAAGTGGCGGTTTGAGCAGCGACAGTTCATCACAATTTTCAGTGGCTTTCATCGGTTGGAAATTTTATCGCTAAAAGTTTCGCAAATATATTGGTTATCACTGGATAGTCTCGTCTCAAAGATCATATTTTGATGTGGAAGACGACATTTATTTATCGACAGGTTGGTTCTTACATTTATTTGCTTCTAACAATTTGGTTGCCATTTGGCAACTACGGTCATTCATGGTCGAATTTGTTAAATGGGCCTAAGTATGTTTACAGTCGTGTTTCCTTGTCTTCTCGACGAATTTACAGAAACACAATGGTGATTTTTGCATTGTTGGACTGTTCCTTGATTTTTAAACTTTATATTTCAATTTCAGTTTATAAGCGATGGAGACAAGATGCAAAGTTAGATACAATCTTGAGGAAGCTTTGCAGTACGTGGTAACACCCGGGTCTGACTCAGAGATTTCCGATCTAGAAGATGATGATGGTGAAGATCTAGATAAAATACAGTTAGAAAGGGAACCATGCCAAGAAGCCTCTGTCATGTCTGATAATTGTGAAATTATCGAGGATGGAATTGAAGATGCAAGCCAAAGTGATGAGGTCAACAGCGGAAAAGAAGGAAACAGTAGTGCAGCAACAAAGAAGCACTCTTATCGTTGGAGTAGCCGTAAGCCACCAGTGACAGATGCTACTTTTAGCGGCCCACAGTTTAGCTTACCTCCTGACAATTTTGATCAGCTTACTCCACTATGGTATTTTAACCAGTTCTGGGATGATACCATGACCAATCAGCTGGTAGAGCAAACAAACTTGTATAGTGTCCAAAAGACTGGTACAAATATACTGACCCACAAAAATGAAATTGAGCAGCTAATAGGGATCCAGTTGAAGATGGGCATAGTAAAAATGCCAAAATACAATAGTTATTGGGCAGGTGAGACAAAATACTCTCCTATTGCTGATGTTATGGCGTTAAACAGATACAGAAAGCTAAGACAGTTTCTTCATGCAAATGATAACTCTGAGAAGGACAATCCAGAGAGTAAAGGCAACAAGCTGTACAAGATTGATCCAATTCTTCAATCTTTGCGTGAAAATTGCCAAAAAATTGAGCAGGAAGAGTTCCAATCCATCGACGAGCAGATTGTCCCTGCCAAGACAAAGTTTAGTGGGATAAGACAATACAATCCTAAAAAACCCCACAAATGGGGCTTCAAGAATTTTGTGAGAGCAGGTCAGAGTGGAATGATTTATGACTTTTTCTTTTATACTGGAGCTGCTAGTGCTGGAGGTGAAAAAACCTCTGCAAAAAATGTTGTCTTAAAGCTCTGTGAGAATGTCTTGACTGGTTGCAATTATAAAGTTTTTTTTGACAATTGGTTTGCAACGTTAGATCTTTGCCTGGTTCTCAAGGAAAGGGGCATTTTAACGACAGCCACTATCAGAAATAATCGTCTTGCTGGTTGTACTCTGAAAAGTGAAAAAGAGATGAAAAAGGATGGAAGAGGCAGCTTTGGGTTCAAAACAGACCAGAATACTGGGATGGTTGTCTTGCGCTGGTTTGACAACAAGTGTGTTACACTTGTGTCAACATACCTCAATGTTGATGAAACAGTAAATGTTAAAAGATGGAATTCATCTAGTAAAACACATGTAGATGTTACCTGCCCAATGATTGTCAAGGCATACAACACATCTATGGGGGGTGTGGACCTGGCAGATATGCTGATAGCATTGTATAGATGCAAGATAAAAACCAAACGATGGTATCTTGTAATCCTTTTTCATGCAGTTGACATTGCAAAAGTGAATGGCTGGTTACTCTACAGAAGATTTTGCTCTCAAATGAAAGTACCTTCAAAAAAACAATTGCCCCTTCTGACTTTCACAGCCAAAATTGCTGAAAGCTTGACAAAAGCAGGAAAGGCACTGACCAAACCATCAGTCGGCAGACCAAAAAGGAGTTCATCCCAAATGTTTGATGAACATCAACCGAAAAAGGGGAGAGCTCCAAAAACTGTCCTTCCAGATCCTGATTCAAGATATGACCAGCTGGGTCACTGGCCTTACTATGATGAGAAGAAAAATAAATGCAGGCTTTGCAAAACGGGCTACAGTCGTGCATACTGTGAAAAATGTAAAGTGTGCTTGTGTCTCACTTCCAATAAAAACTGTTTTCGCGACTTTCACAATTTGTAATAGAGTCAATTTAGAACACTTTAGAACAGTACTATTTAGTGGATTTTAGCTCTGATTTACTGCTTTTGCATGGATGTATGATGTTTATAATGTTCTGTTGATTTTATGAAACATATCTATTTTTGTGTTTTCACCTTTGATGTCCATAGTTGCCATACGGCAACCATTAAAAAACAATAGAATATAATAAATTTTTGAAAAAAAAAAATAATTTTCATTTTTAGATATGCATTTAGAGTGTAAATTACCAGAAGAATAATTTTTTCAAATGAATTTTGAATAATTGGACAGTAAAGGGTTAAGGAACTTTTTTAAGCTGCATTTTGTAAACAAACAATTTAATTGTAAATAAAACATGAACCAAAAATTTGTTGACAATTGCTGACTATATTTGAACTTGCCGTACCTTCAAGAATAATCTGTTGATTTTTCGTTTCAGTATCTTGCATAGTTTCAGAGAAAATCGCATTCATACAAAGATAAATCAAGATTTTTTGTTTCATATACAAAAACCCTAAATCTAAGGGTTTACTTTGTACTGTTGAGATTTTACAAAAAACTATAACACAAGGAACTAGAAAAAGTCAAAATGATCAATTAAAAAGTCAACCACACCAGAAAAACAAGTTTTTGAGACAATTAAAAACATTTTTGAGTTCTCTAATGTGGATGAAAGTTTGAAATTACAAAGTTTTTAAGGGAATTTTTAAGCTGCATTTTGAAAACAAACATTTCAATTGTGAATAAAACATGAACGAGATAATTTCTTGACAATTGCTGACCATATTTGAACTCGCCGTACCTTCAAGAATAATCTGTTAAATTTTC